CTGGAGGAGAGACGAAACGTTTCATTAAAAAAGAAACCGTCCAGAAGACCTATACAATTTCTTTCTTTTTGATTTTTTTTACCTGGATTACTGAGATGCATTAGGACAAATCACCTGCTGTAACTACTAAAAAGACAAAAAAATAATTTAAAAACAGTACAATTTCATAATTAACCAGCTGTAGCAAGTTGTGAAAATAGTTACAAGAGGTGACAAAGAGGTTTTTAGGGGGGCACATACGAATACAGAAATGCACTCTGAATTTGAATATTCAAGATGGCCACCACAGCTAGGTCCTAATGGATTTCATTCAGCTGTTTTTAGAAATTTTAAGCTGAAATTTTGTGTGATCGTAGCTAAGAATGATGCTAAATGCTAGTCACAACTTATTATTTAGCCATGTTTAGACATGCATAGCTGAAGATTAGCGTTTAAGTAGCAGGAAACAATCTTTAGCAAATTTAAAAATTCAAGCTGGCCACCGTAACAAACTTTAAAATGCTATAGTCAGCATTTTACTCATTGAGATGAAATTTTCTTTGGTTTATTTACGAATGATCACAAACTGATAATTTAGCCATTTTTCCAACATACACAGCTGAAATTGTATATAGCACCGTCGTATCAGAGAACAATCTTTGACGAAATCGAAATGCTAATACAAAATCCGAGATCATCACCCACTTGTCAGTTATTTGTGGATGGCACTTGGGTTTGGCCAATCAGGTGCCAGAGGTGGCGTTTGCCAGCAGCTATAACCAAAAATGTTTTGAAAATGCTTTCCAATCCCTTTTTTAGTAATTTAAGCTTCTTTGCTTTGCTTTTTAATACTATCTGATCCATAAAATTGTCCCGTCAAGTCTGCATTCTGAGGCTTTTTTGTCTGTTAAAGTGTGACGTTTGTGAAGAATTAGAAGCTGTCAGATGACTGCAGTGTAACCTCAACTATTCAAGATAAGTGGGAGTCTCTTTGTTTTGCCTTTTAGTGCAAGTTATTGCCACACCGCTGTATTTTGTCACTTTTTCTTTCCCAAATTTTAGAAGTCACGTGGAAGAAAAACTTTACATGGAAGAGCCCAGAGATTCTCACTGCCTTTGCAATTTCATGCTTGGTACTCTTTTTCATTTAGCAGCAGCCACTGCTTTAAAAAGGTGTTGGAGAGCTACTGATTATCTAATTTTAACCTCTGAAAAAAACATAATTTCAAAATGTTTGGTATGTTATGTAAGATGAGCTCACCCTGATGACAATGTATAAACTTTTTAATTATTTTTTTTATTTTTTATTTCTTTGCCGGAGGGGGTGGGGGTCTGAGAATGGGCAGTGTTTCCAGCTGATGTTCTAATCTGAACACAAAAACAGACATCCTCCATTCTCAGCCTGCTGTAATAAAAACTCAGTCATTTCTACAAGTTCTCATCACTTCCTGCCAACTGTATGTCCCAGACATCCATGGCTACGTTCACACTGCAGGCAAATCTGACCCAAATCCGATTTTTTTGACCCATCTGACTCTTATCAGATTTTTTTATGACAGTCTGAACGAGACAAATCAGATTTTTTTCAAAAAAATCGGAACTGAGCATTAAGACCTGCAGTGTGAACGTAGCCCATGTCTCTGCATCTCATTTTCTTACATTTACAGCAATCAGAGTGCAAGTAAAAAATAAAATAAAATCAGCCGCTCACAAGTATCTTGACAAAACTCTCCACACATTTTTCTGAACATCTTTGGTGGTCTTGAAACAGCTCAGCAAAAGCTCAGACTCCAAAGACCACCTTAAGCAGATCTCCTTAAGCAGATCTCAGAAATGTCAAAATGAAACAGCAAAGGGGGAAAAAATGTCCTTAAATCTTGAATGAGCTTTAGACCAGCTTTATGGTGAATGCAACCGCCCCAGATCTGCTCTTCAGAGGAAAAAATAGCTTTACTGATCATCTACTATCTTTAACCACCTCTGCAGCAAAGTGACAGTAATTTATTCATTGACTTGATAAAGCGTATAGTCTATCTATAGTCAAAGCAGCAAGATGCCAAACTGTTACGTTAGATCTTTATTCCTGAAGAAATTGGTTATCATACAATGTCTCCGATGCATTTAGAGAAAACCAGATTTCATGGCACGGATTCAGGAAACAGAAAGAATATTGTTATGGGACTGTGATGGAGCTTGTGGCTATAGATTGTAGTCAATATTTTATTATTGCTTTCATCAAAAAGGAAGAAAAAGTGGGCCCTGAAAACAAAGATTGTAATTTTTATTACAAGCCAACAAATTCTAACCAGTAACACCTAAGTTGAAAGTCTAATGACGCTTTATTTTTGAATGACAGCACTGTTCCACTTAAGATTGCATTTTGTTAAATGCTCATAAATGCTTTCTAATATTATAAGGATTGATATAATGATTGTTTTGTGCTTATCAAATACGGTTATAGAGGGTTTCAACTTAAGTGTTACATCGATAAGCAAGTAAAAACCGTGTAGCATTGTGCCCCGTTCCACTGATGCTAATAATGCATTTGCAAATATATTAAGCATCATCTAGCAGCACGCTCTGTATTGTATCCTCGGATAAAGTCATAAAACCGCACATGGTAAAATAGTTTGTATATGAAATACCAAAAAATACAGCTGTGAACAAACATGAAAATGGAAACAAGGTAATATAGTTAAGGCTAAACATCTTTTTCTATTACCTCCGTATAGCTAAGCCAGTAAGAGGAGCATGCAATCAAACGTAACATCGCCACAATTTTACATTAAACAACAAAAGCAATCAACTCAAAACGAACATAATGTGCCTTTTGTCACTACAAATCAGATCTGTGTGATGTAGGTTTTCTAAATCATATGGCTTTGTGCAACTTTTTCCACTGTCTGTAACTTCACTGATGAAATTCTTCCCATAAAATAAGATGTGAAGAAATTGTCATGCCAGAAACTGAGATTCGATTCTACATGCGCCGTTTCTTACATGCCAAATTGTGCTAATTGTACATCATCTTAGAGAACAAAGAAAAACAAAAAGCAAAACAAATTATAATAAATTAAAATAGAAGAAAATAAATCTGAGGTCTTTCATGGGAGCATGTCCACTCCAGGAACACGTGCTCATTCCCATCACCCTAATTTATATAAGGTATTTGTGCACATATTCTACATCTTCTTTAATATAAGAATATGGTCCGTTAATAAATTAGCAATAGTACAAGGATTTGAGTTTCAGTGGGGAGGCGGGAAAAGAGTATAGCAGGATTTAAAATATGTTTCCTGCTTTATGTAAAGCGATCTGAATTCATCTTCCTAAGTTTAGGTGGTAAGTGTCCGTCCATCCTGCCCCCTCCGCCCCCAGCCAGTCGCTGCAGTTTCGGTGGTAAGTCCGCCACCGACTTACTGATGGGCTCCGTGCTGATCTTACAGGTCTTACCAGCCTGCTTATCCTCTGAGACTCCGGGAACAGAGCTGATCCGTTGCAGCTTCATGGGCAGGTCTCCGAAGCTGTAAGTCATCTCCGAGGTGGTGGAGCTCATCCTCAGCAGCTTCTTGGGCAGGCCGTCCCGCCCCGTGATCTTCTGCAGCTTGGTAGGCAGCTTGGTGGTGCTGTCATTGTCCTCCAGGGTTTCCAGGCAGTCCAGCGAGCTGTTCTTCTCCCCGCTGTTGCACAGGGACGGGGCCATGAGGGGCGAGGAGAGGAGCAGGGCCTCCTCCTGCTCCTTCACGCTGTAAGGAGGGGTAGGCACCTCGAACGTGGCGTGAAACTGGGAGTAGTCCACCTTGAAGAAGCCCTCCTCCAGGGAGATGACGGGGAAGAAGCGATGTCCCCACAGCACCTCGTCCTCCGTGTAGGATGTCCTCGCTTGGCAGGTCATCCCTGTCAAAGCGAGTAAAACAAACACCTTTAATCTTCTGGAATTATCACTTGTTAACACAGTCAAATGCAAAGATTAAATGTTTCACGACTCAGATTAAATTAAATTGTTGGCCCTTTGCCAAACGATGAAAAAGTCAATATTATTTCCAGGATTCTTGCCAGTCTAAGGTGATAAAAGCAAACAATTCAAACACAGCAGCCCTAATGAACAAGCATTTACTGTTTTACACAACCAGCTGCCCAAATAAAGGACTTAATAGATTTTATCTATTTTTTTTTGTTCTTTGTGCTCTTTATAAGCACTTTCAGACTAATTGGGAAAATAAAAAAAGGCTGAATTATTTACTGTGAGCTTATTTTATGAATTACTAACTATTTAATCACAAAAGGTCCAATTTTTTTTAAAAAGACTACTGGTAATAAACTCTTAATGCAACTGTAAGCCAGCAAACACTAAAAGTAACTTTTCTCTTTTAATGTTTACATTTTTAAACTGTGCACAAAAAGAAATGAAATTATAGTTGTCTATGCTTTGAAATGTGAATAAAGTCTTTAAAAACAGTTTCTGTTTTTTGTTTCTTTTTTACTTTGCTAGCAGACAGAGCTGACATCAACAGCTGATGCCAAAGTTTTAGTGAAAATATTGTGCAAATTGTTACCCCTTCAAAATCTTGTTGAGGATGAGTCTCAGCTACTACTATGTCAAAGTTTAGCTCAATATCTCCAAAACTGACTGAGTTATCACCATTTTTGTATTTTGTAAGTTTGAATGGCTGTGGCGGCCATTTTCAGTCCAAATGACTCCAAAAGACAAACAGTTGTAGATGTACATTCAGGGATTACTTGCTGAGAGATTCATTAAAATTTGCCCACCGGTTCATGTGACATTTTGCTAACAGACAAACAAGAACATGCACACAGACATTTACCTTATCGCCCAAATTTCAGAGGTCCTTAAAGACAATTAGAAAGAAAAAAATGGTCTCTTTTATGAAAGGATGTTCTCACATTGCTGCCCGTGCCTTTTAACAGTGCAGTTCACATCTTAAGCTTGGCTACAAGCTCCAAAAGATAAAGGATTAAGATAATCAGTATTGCCAGAGTACTACATTATCTCCGGAGGGATGGCTGTGGGGGGGAAAAAAGGCTTTTAGAGGTTTAGTTTACACCAAAATGTCTTTTGTCTCTTTATTTGACACAACAAAAGCAATTCATTTCAATCTACAGCCTAGTTTAACACTTCAGCCAAAACTGAACAATTGTATATAAAATTGTTCAGTTTTGTTGAACTAAAAACCAAAAAAAAATCTTCTTAGCATCAGCTGTGTGAGAAAGTGTGTGTGTTCTCTCCCAGTCATGCTATGATAAACTTGGAATAAATGTTTCATCACAGAGAGAACATTTATTCCATTAAACCCCAGCGTCAGACATCTCTTCAAGTCCTCAAAAAGCAAATTATCACAGCAAAATTCAGTGTTTTGAATTAGTCAACACTAAACATTTTTATGACACGCTTATTAGTGATTACTCACCACTATTATTCAGCAGCTGCTATCATGGTTGTCTACAAATTATATCATACTCCACTGCTTACAGCAAAGCCAGATGAATCTCATAATATTAATATTACGCTGAAAAAAACAAACTTCAATCTCATGTTGAAAGAGCGTTTATACTTGAATCCACAGAGCATTCGTGTTCAAACGTGTTGAAACCCGTTAGATCTGTGTTTTGTTTTCTCTTATTATCACGTCTTAATTAAGAGCAAGATTCTGCTTGAGCTGCAACATTTGGGTCTAAACGCTGACTGATGGCCATGATGTCATCATCCGAGTGAAGGGCATCTGCGATACTGCCTGATTACCAAGATCATGAAATAATTCACTGATCACAACGCTGTACACAATCACAGCTGTGCAGGAGGCTGAACATGGAGTGCGTTTGGGGCATTCGCTGGATTACTTCAGCTTTATTGCATCAAACTCCCAGCGCCTTCAGGCTCATGGAAGCGTGCTGCAGTGAATAAAGGGGGCACAGCTCATTTGAACCCAGGAGCAAAAAAAAGTGACTGGGAGTTAAAGCGTGAATGAAAATCCTGTTGCACAGCGAGCCTGTTAAAATGCCTGAGACCAAAACATCGTCACCATCAAAAGACGCGGAGGTTACAGCGTGGAACACCTCCAGCTCAGGTTTCATAACAGCCACCTCATTGCCACCAGAAGTAATCTGCTTTTATCGAACAGTGGACTCCACGCTGCAAGGCTAACTTGAAATCTATAATGTAAATGCACCGCTACACCACCTTTACCACTCAATACAAGCAAAAAAAGGTCAAATTGAGTGGAATGATATCAGGCTGGAGGCAAGGAATTTTACACTAATATGCACGAGACAAAAAGCTTCATCTTACATCCATTAATAATGCCCTGTTTTTTTTTTTTTTTTTTGGGGGGGGGGGTAGATGGTGCAGGGGTCACTGCAAGACTTTGGTCTTCTTAAACCTGTAAAAACCTGCAGGCTTCTGCAGGCTTGGGGGGCAAATTCTCATTCATCTCTAATTCATGTGCAATCACATAAGATGGCTGGCTCAATCGTATTGAAAGCCAGTGTTTGGAAGTATTTTGGTTTTTATGAAGTTAAAGGGAAACATGATGTTTACAAGAGCCACACTATGTGCAAGTTGTGTACATATTTCCATCTGGATGCGGGAGGAAACAGCCGGCCGTTGCTGTCATTGATGGAGTTAGAGTCTGTGCTGCAACTCTTACAGAGTATAGCCGGCAAACAACTATCACAAAGGAGTTTCCAGAATGTAACAAAATGTTTGCAGCACGCTACAATGTGGGTGGAGGTGGGCAAGAAAATAACGTGCGTGGCTTTGATTGCAGTTTTCCAAACTGTGAACACGAAAATAGTTTACCGTATTTATTCGTGTATAATATGATCTCATGTATAATACGAACCCCGCTTTTTTAGCTTAAGAAGCATAAAAAATTTAATCCTCAAACTACCTCCAATTTCATACAGACTTCAAGATTTTTCAGCCTTTGCAGTCTTTATACATATCAGTAAAATTATCATTGGACTGTTCATTTTATTTTAACAACATGTGTACTAAAAGGTATTTTGACAACAAATATATATCAGCAGCAGCAGCATCATATGAATTCTGGCATTTTACACACAGTCCACCAGGATGCGCCAACACAAAAGTCAGACTTCACATGAGATTTGGGCCATCTTGTGGGGGAAAAGCAGATTACTTCCTACTCACGAGCGCCCCCTCTGGTGGGAAACATTTTTTCAGGGATACAAACTTTTTCAGAACACCGGTAGATGGCAGCCATTACAGACAAACATGTGTTTGTTGTTGTTTGAGGAGCGGCCCAGTCACATGCTAATGTCATTAGTTCACTATCATTACTAAGGTGCAGGAATACTTTCCCCCCTTTTTTTCACATCATGTCACCTGCCTGGATCTGTTACTATCTCGCTCTGAAGCATGGAGAAGTGTCAGAGGTAAGGTCATTTCAACTGCTTTTTACAACGAGGTCTCATTTAAGGACTCATACATTTTGTGAATGATGCCAATATTTCAGTTAAAATACATAACTAAAAATATTTATCCAAGTATAGTACTTCCCCCCAACTTTATGGATGATTTTATGGATTTAATTTTATGTATTATACTTGAATAAATACAGTAGTTTTTTTTTTCTGTGCAAAACACAACTGCATGGCTAGCTGGTCATTTGATCGCAAACACTCCGAATTCAGAGAGTGCAATTGAAAAGTCACCTATTTTAAGTCCTCAACTATTCTCCAACTGTCTCAGCCCAGTGTGACACTTCCTTACGTTGCACCAAAAAGGTCAAAGTTGATGGCTGGATGTACAGAATCTTGTGTCCCTGTTCTCAGTATTTTGACAACTTTTGTTCACTTACTTCCCAAAATCTTGTTGCAATAAAAACAATTGTAGACTGAAGTGTAGCATAAATCATTTTGTTTCACCCAGGTCTGATATATTATGTCCAGGGCTTTGTTTGAACGGACTGCATCAGTAATAGTTTTATAATCGCATAACAGCCCTCTGGACTGTAATCGAATCAAATCGTGGGGTGCCTGATGATCCCCACCCCTTTAGTGCGATGCGGATCAGCTGTGCAATTCTTCAAAACAACAATAATTAACGATTCTGGATGTAATCACTCATTAATGAACATTTAATTTACATACATTACTCGAGGACTGATGCCCGAGAAGTTGCATAATTCTAGACACAGTTGCGCCACGTACGATCAATTGTGTTGTTAAAGACCTGCTGTTCTGCAACGCCCACCTTCATATGCCACACACTGAAACAGACGCAGCAATAATGCAGAGCTCTGCACCTCGACACTCAGTGAGGCCATGACACACTTAAAAGAAACGATGGTGTTAAACGTGTTTAAAGATTATGTAAATGGACTAATAACTCTATCAGAATCCATGAGAACAGCTTAAAATAGAACTGAGCAGAAAAAAAKAAGACAAATTTAGATCTTTTCTGCTGTTGTGTATTTTTCTTAAAATAGGAATCCATTCAAATGAGAAATCCCACATCAGATTGCCTGTCGTATTATTGGTAAAGCCTTATGTAACTCTAAAATGCACGGCTGCCCRGCGCTCAGTGTTTCTATGGAAACCAAACTGTAGGAATGAGTGCATGTGACAGCCTTAAACCTTTTCACTGCTCATTTTGGTCAAAAGTAACAGTGACACGACACAAAACAAAGGTCCCCCTCAAACATTCTGACACAACCAGAAAGGATTTTCCAGCGAGTGCAGAGTCGGATCATCCGTACGGCTCCGGAGCCTGACGCTTATTGTTTTACTGTCACACACTTCTGACCTTTTGCAGCGCAAAACCCACCGAGAAAAGAGTGCTTTTCCTTTCATTGAAGTCATCTTTAATAGCAAGTCTCTTTTCACTCTTATCTATCACACTTAYGTTGTTTTAT